TTTATTACAGAAAATATGAAAATGTCAAAATAATCAAGAACTTAAATGTTAGTTTTACAATTAGATAACAAAATTGTACGAAAACGTTAACATAAACATTAATAATTTTAAATTAGCACATATTTTTCCCGAAAAAAGTTTTTTAATTGCACTTGTCCAAATCTTTAGAGTTAAGTTCATTTTTTTTTTAATTATAATGACAGAATTGCACAATGAGCATTGAAAACAAAAATAAAAATATATTAATCCTAATTATTTTGAATTGTACAAAGATGTATGTATTTACTCGAGTTACTCTACAGCTTGATTTTTTATTCTTAAATTCCGCTTCATTTTAGAGTGAATTATTGGGAGACACAGCATATAAACTTCTTTGGTACAATATACGTCCAAAAGAAACTCGACTTTTAATACCCGTGATATTAAGATGTCAAAGAGGATTTACTTTGACATTTGGAAAATTTGCTAGTCTTTCCATGGGAAGCTTTACGGCTGTAAGCTATTTATATATATTTTACACTTAGTGATTTTAAGTACTTACACCTGATTAATAAAAATATTTTTTTTCACTTAAATATGATAGAATATTTTGTATAAACACAATATCAGATTATTACTTATTTGATTGTAATTCAGCAAAATCCGAAATAACTCTATTTTATAATTTTAGATTATGAAAGCTTCAGGATCGTATATATCAGTCTTACTTGCGATGTCGTGAAGAAGAAATAGTACAAAATAATTTACCATAATTTAATTATATTAAATTGTTTAGTAAATAATTGTTATAGTATATAATGTAAAAAGGCACTGTATATTGTATATGTAGAAATAAACGCAAAAGAATTCAACGTGAAAGATATAAACATTCAAGGATGAAACATGCTACGTTTAGTTTATCGTTTGATTTTAATTTTATTTTATAATTATTTTAATATAAAATTGTTAAAAGTGGTAAGAATCTTTTGTTAAGTACAGTGAAAGGTATAAGGTATGTATATATAATTTTTGTATAACAAATTTTAAATTTGGAAGATAAATGAATTATTTATATAGTATAATAATTATATGGATATAAATAAAATAAATATATAAGCTTAATAAACTATTAAAATATATAAATTTTTAAAATTATTAAAATAAATAAATAAGCTATTTTTATGCATATACCTAAACATTTTTGAACGTTTAAACATCATTTATTGATCGTTACAATCGTTAATTTATGAAACAAGTAAGTAGTTTGAAGGCAACATTCTTACGTAGTTTATTTCAATTATAGATTCAAAGATTTCGTTTTATTTTTTTCAAAACCTTTACAGAAATTGAAACTCTAAAGAAACTGTTATGGTTCCTCATAGTTTTTAACAGATTACTGTTCTTCCATGTAGCTTCAGCAAACTTTTATGATTTAACTTCCGTTTTCTTTTCTTATATTACGTGTACCTTCGCCTTGAAAGTTTCTCGTTTTCAACACAAGTGAAGAGTGACTTTCGTACGAGTGCGTGACTCACCAACGTGCTACGAATCTCATTGAATTTTCTATTTTAAAAATAAATTTTATTCTCTTTATTGCGATCTCCAAGATGAAATGATTCCCTCGATTTCTTATATATAAATTCTAAATTTTGTTATTTTTTATTATTGGTATATAATGAAATATAATTATAATTAATTGTATATACATACGTGTGCAGATTGGTTCATTGTATTTGAATAAAATAACATTATTCATTTTGGTTATAGATTAAAACAATAATATTAACAATATTTCAAAAGCAATAAATTTTTTTTGTATTAAACTGTTTAACAAATGTTTGAAGAAAGCGACAGGAGTAAGCAATTTATCTAAGTGATCTATGGATTACACACATTAATATGTATAATAATAATTTTATCGATGCAATCATTAACTAAATTAAACAACACACATATATTATAATTGATCATAATTTTCTATAATATCAATAAAATCAGATTCAAGACTTGATATTATTAGAATATTTTCTCACATAATTTGTAATTACTTTTATTGTACAGTGGTCAAAATGATTAATTTGATGATAACTTTTGTTAGAAATTTGATGGATACAAAACAGAGTATTTTTCGAGATTTAGATAATTTTTCGTGAAATAAATATGAAAATCAAAGTGTGTATAATTGATAGTATTATGAAGCTTTTCTATTTTTTTACTTTAATGGTTTCTGATGGAAATTTTTCTTTTAATCGTCGATGTTAAAGGTGATAGACGATCATGTAAAAACAAGTTTATCTGCTTTAAGTTCAATATTGTATTCATATACCAATTAATGAGTTATTCATCTGTCATCGATGTTAAAAAAATGACGAGAACCGGAATTCAAGTTACTATGTCGATGTACAGGTAAACAATATTACTGAATTAAATAATCATTTTCTATATATTGAATTTTACATTTATATATACTGGATTACATGAAAAAAGTAATTAAACTTTGCTAAAGAAAATAATCGTATAATTTAAAAACACACTTCTGCATTTTTAACGTTAATTAAAGTAAAAATTATAATAATTGTTAAATATAACAATTGTTAAAAATCATTAAAACAAATAAATAATTTTACGTAAATAATGTTACATAATTCAGATACTATGATTATTATTTTGATTATGCATATCTATATATTATTTTTGATTTTATTATTAATTCATATAATCCATATATATATATGTAATGAATTATTTGTATTAATATTAAAAATTGATTATATTTGTATATAAGCCAAGATTGTATGTCTTGATTAATTCATATAATCCATATATATATATATATGTAATGAATTATTTGTATTAATATTAAAAATTGATTATATTTGTATATAAGCCAAGATTGTATGTTTTGATTTAGAAATTAATTTTGTATTTCATGGTGATACCATGAAAATAATTTTAAATTCGCTATAGTCAGTAGTAATTAATGGAATTAAACAACTCATTTCCATTATAAAGCAATTTCATGATTATATGTTGGAATTAAACAATTAAATCGTTTCCATTTTATATATAAAATGATTATAAAATAAATTTAAATTATAATTAGTATATATTAGATAATATAAAAGATAATAACAAGTATAATATATGTAGTATAGTATTATAGTAATATTATATAGTATATAGTAATGTATAGTAGTATTTTATCGTCTAATATATAAAATATAAAAATTATCATTATATTAAGCAATATATTAATAAAATACAAGAACAATATTAATTTAAATTTATAATTGCTTTTATTGTACAGTGTATTTTACATACAATTAAAATTCAAAACTGAAGTTCTGTGTCGGCGTCACATTTTCATGGAAATCCGATTTGAAGTATTTAAACTGGGAGAATTGCAGTTCATTAAAGCTAAGTTCTTTACGCATACCTATCTTCGAAAGAAACATTTAAAATGTTCGTGCAATTCACTACAGTTTTAACTTCTTAATGATATTGATTTTTCTTTAGATACACTTTTAGAGTGTGCGAAAAAATTGCAGTAGAAACCTTAATGGGATAGATTGTTTTTTCATTCTATGTTATGTTTTACATCGTTCTTAAATTAAAAAAATGTTATATTGTTCTCTTGTTATTTTAATTCTTTAATTATTAATAGAATCATATTATATATATATATATATATATATATATATATATATAGATTTACATGTACAAATTATATATATATTTAATAATATTTAATAATATAATAATTTTTTTTCCATATATTATGCAAAAATAATATATATGCATATAAAATACATGTATAATATAAAGTAGTTTTATATACATATAATTATAAATATGTGTATTATATTATTATATTTTTTAATATAATTTAAGTGAGTCTAATGTGATAGTAATTATTATATGTTTTTGTCTTGTAAAATATTGTGTTTTACATATCGTATATTTTTTGTTTATAAATACTTTTTATGCACTAATTATGGAAATATCGAATATTAATTTTTAATGTTTAATTCAATCAAGGTTTTTACATATTTTATTTTATACTGTAATTTTATAATATTATAGACAAGCCAAATATGATGCTGTTCTGTGAAAATATAGTATTTTTAAAATATCTGTTATTTACAGCATTATATAATATCTGTTATACAGTATTATGTATTAATATAAGTATATATATTGACGATCAAAGTATATTATATAAAAGAAACAAAATGTAAATTTATATGAAAATATTATTTATTGTTTTTTTTCTAATTTAATTGTAGTAATACTACTTTTTCGATTTCTACCATTATAAGCTGTCAATTAATCCTGAATTGTTTTTAATTTTTAATATTAGATGTTGAATCTAAATTGCAAACAGAAGGTTAGATAAAAGAAATTTTACAGACGACACGAAATTTACTTTCGACTAACTTTCTCGAATAGAATTTTCTAACTATATATGCATGTAATTGTTTCAATTACATGAAATAACAAATTTTGATTTAAATTAGTTAATGGGTCTTTGATTTAAATGAATTCTAAACAAAACAATTGCACTTGATAAAAGCATTTCATAAGTTTTTCAGTAAATATTGTCAGAATTTAAAATAGCATGTTAAGCAAAAATAACTGCATAAAAGTAAATTTGCATGTAAATTGTCATCATAAACATTTCAATTAATTTTTTCATAAGGTGAGACTCCTTCGTCAGAATACAAACGGCGATCTCATACACTTTTCCTCATCCATACATAATTCAAGGTTGGAAGATTGCACGAGAGAAGAAAATTTGATTTCTCACTCTCATTTCCCATGATTCATAGTATCTGAAATTTCATTAAATAATTTTCATACTCGACGAAAGTTCGCCTATATTGTTTTACAGAATAAATAACAAACAAATGAAGTTGGTTTCTCATAGTATTTATATAACGCTCTTTTGTATCAATCGACATTAGCAATGATAATCAGTAAACAGCGGACTTTTATGAATATTTATACAAAATTTCAAGATGCAAAAATGTAGCATTAAATGCAGCAAAGAAAGCATTTAAAGTCGAGTATATTTATGTTTAGATGAAACCAACTTGCGTTTAGGTTTCATTCTTTCATCTAGATCTTCGAAGGAATAAAGAAATGCGCAGAAATCCGTAGTCGAATAATCAATAGTTAATTTCTATACGATTGTTTTCTTCCGTTTCTACCGAGCTGTCTCGTCAAACATTTTTAAGTTAACATGTATGGATTAGATGACAGTGAGATGAGAGGACAGAGAGAAAATGGGAGATGGCGAAATCAAAGCAAATACGTGTCGAATGGTTCGAACCTTTTGGAGTTTGGACGCAATACAATTTTCCAGGAAAGTTGCGGCCGCGGCAGCGACGGCGACGGCGGCGGCGGCGGCGGCGGCGGTGAATTTCCCGGGCCGAGCGAATTGGTCTCCATGGAAACCACCCCAAAGCCAATCCGGGGTACATTCGTACGTACATTTACCCTTGTCGAGGCGCGTCTGCAACATTCCCCTTGCTCCCTTCTCCCTTCATAAACTTGCTTCCCTTTCCATCCCTCTCGACTCTTCCGTATATACTTCCTTCCCCGCATCCCGAACTCGCTCTCTCTCTCTCTCTCTCTCTGTCTGTATCTTCTTTATCTCCACCATCGTGCTTTCTTTCATTTTCTTTCTCTTTCCTCGCGTTTCTTCCTCCCGCCATAATCTTTCTACTCGATTTCTTTTTTCATCTTTACAATTATTCTATTTCTTTGTTTTATTCCACACAGTAGTTTACGATCACTTGCCTGCAAACGTTTTCATTGCGTTTTTC